ACTTCTGTGATAGTAGCTGGTACTTTTGCTTACTATGTGCCAGGCTCCATTCCAAGTACTTGAAATGTACTCATTTCTAGTTAATCCTTACAACAATGCTCTGAGGTGAGTTACTTTTTTCCTTTTCTCTGTTTTGATGGAGTGTGTGTGTGTGTGTGTGTGTGTGTGTGTGTATGAGTGAGAAACAAAGAGTTATTAATACAAAGAGTAAGTTTGTTTCTGAGCAGTTAAGATCCAGTCCACATTCTTAAGCACACTATATTGCCTTTCAGCCTGAGGTAGCTCAGTATGGCATTGTTCATTGTTCAGCTAGTGCTCATTAACCAAAAGGAGAAGATCAAAGGTCGTATTCATTTATTGTGTTGACCAGTATGACAGTCATTCACGCCTGCATGGGACAGTACTGAATGGTGCCGATACACATACTCAGATAAATATCTAAAATGTGTGTATATGTGTGTGTGTGTGTAGGGATGTATATGACTTAGTGGTAGCATATCTTATGTAGGGGTTTGTCTCTAAAAGCAGCATGACCATGTAACATCAAAATAGCTCTTTTCCAGCAATAGTAACAAAAACAGCATGATATTGGCACCAAAATAGACTGGTAGGCCAATGGTATAGAATAGAGGACACAGAGACTAACCCAAATAATTACAGTTGTCTTATATTAGACAAAGGTGCCAAAAACATACATTGGAGAAAAGATAGCCTCTTCAACAAATGGTTCTGGGGAAACTGGAAATCCATATGTAACAAAATGAAATTAAACCTTATCTCTCACCATGCACAAAACTCAACTCAAAGTAGATCCAAGGACTTAGGAATAACCCAGAGACACTGCGCCTATTAGAAGAAAAAGTAGGCCCAAATCTCTATCATGTTGGATTAGGCCCCAGTTTCTGTAATAAGACTCCTATAGCACAAGAATTAAAACCAAGAATCGATAAATGGGATGGATTCAAACCAAAAAGCTTATTCTCAGCAAAGGAAACAATCAGCGAGGTGAATAAGAGAGCCTACATCTTGGGAGCAAATTTTTACCACTCGCACAATAGATAGAACACTAATTTCTAGGGTATATAAAGAACTCAAAAAGCTAAACCCCTCAAAAAACAAATAGCCCAATCAATAAATGGGCCAAGGAACTCAACAGACACCTCTCAGAAGATTATATACAATGAGTCAAAAAATATATGAAAAAATGTTCATCATCACTAGCAATTAGAGAAATGAAATCAAAACTACTCTAAGTTTCATCTCACTCCTGTCAGAATGGCAGCTATTAAGAATACAAACAATAAGTGTTGGCAAAGATGTGGGGAAAAAGGCACACTCATACATTGCTGGTGGGACTGCAAATTGGTTCAGCCAATATGGAAAGCAGTATGGAGATTCCTTGGAAAACTGGGCATGGAACCACCATTTGACCTAGCTATCCTGCTCCTTGGTCTATACCGAAAGGACTTAAAAACAGCATACTTTAGGGACACAGCCACATCAGCAGCACAATTCACAGTTGCTAAACTGTGGAGCCAACCTAGATATGCCCCTCAGTAGATGAATGGGTAAAGAAAAGTGGCATATAAACACAATGGAATATTACTCAGCAATAAAAGAATAAAATCATGGCATTTGCAGGTAAATGGATGGGGATGGAGAAGATAATGCTAAGTGAATTAGCCAATCCCAAGAAACCAAATGCTGAATATTCTCTCTGATATAAGGAGGCTGATTTATAGTGAGGTTGTGAGGGGCAGCATGGGAGGATTAGATGAACTTTAGATAGGGCAAAGGGTGTCAGGGGAAAGGAGGGCATATGGGGCTAAAAAAGATGGTGGAATGAGATGGATTTCATTATCCTAAGTACATGTATAGGGCTGGGGAGATAGCTCATTTGGTAGAGTGCTTGCCTTACATGCACAAGGCCCTGGGTTTGATCCCCAGCACCAAAACAAACAAACAACCCCCCCCAAAACTAAGTACATGTATGAAGATATGAATGCTGTGAATATACTTATATACAACCAGAGATATGAAAAACTGCTCTATATGTGTAATATGAATTGTAATTCATTCTGCTGTCATATATAACAATACAAAAAAAAAAAAAAACAACAACAACAGGCAATCAACTTGCTTAGACTTTTGTTAGAGGCTTTGTCTCATTCTTTGTGAGTGGCAATTTCAATCTCAGTTCATTTAATTTCTTTTTAAGACTCTGAGTTTGTTGTATGTAGGTGTCCTTTGAGGCTACCCTGAGACTTGTATGGGATTCATACACACAAGTAGAGGATTCAGTTTGTGGTTCTCTTTCCTCCAAAAGTTCCTCCCACCTCCATCTCCAGGTATGACTGTTATGCTCCTTTCCCTGGTTCTCTTTCTGCTGTACTATTTTATGACTGAGGCTCACTCTCAGGGCAAGTGCCCCTCTGCCAAACGTGCATACAAAGGGGCACTCAGCCATGTGCTAATGGATTCTACTTATATGGACTCCTTTTTTTATTTTGAAAAATCCTGGCCACATTCTATTTTTTGGAATTGTGGGTTGCACTATTTTCATTTTTATTTCTGAGCACATGAATTTATCAATTCCCATACTTGTTAAACACAAGTATGTTGATGTTATTCTTCTGAATGCATTGTATACATTTTGGTTGATTGTCTTGATTACTAATGTTGAAGACTTTCTTTTTTTGGTATGTTTCTACCTACTTATGGTTCTGTTTTGTGACTTGCCCATTTTTCTTTTGTTTGTTGACTTTTCCTCATAATTAGTTGTCATTTGCCTTATGTATGTTGAAAAATATTTTATTCCAGTCTTTTGTCATATAAAAGTCTTAATTTTTTATTTTTTTGAGCAGTACTAGGGATTGAACCCAGACAGTCGATCATTGAGCTATATCTCCAGCCCTTTTTAGTTATTTATTTTAAAAATTTGAGACAGGGTCTCAACAAGTTGTCTAGGATGGCCTTGAACTTGTGATCCCTGTTCCTCAGTCTCCTATATAACTGGGATTACAAGAATGTGCCATGAATTTTGATGTCTTATCTATAAATCATGGCTTTATTCAGATTAAATACTTTTGTTTCTCTGCCTGCATTGCTTGATTAAAAAAAAATCAGTAATGTTGAATTTTTGTGAAGCACCTTTTTCTGTCTAAAGGAGTGACCATAATAATTTCCTTGTGTAATGAATGAGGATTAATGAATTTCTAAATACTGAACTTTCCTTTAATTCTTTGGATAAAATCAAAATCAATTTGACCATGATTTATTATCTTTTTAAAAAACTGTTAGCCGGACGTGGTGGCGCATACCTGATGGCTCAGGAGGCTGAGGCAGGAGGATGGCAAGTTCAAACTTTATAAATTGCTTCTATTTTCTGGATGGGTTTACTTTTTTTGGTATGTTTTTTTTTTTTTTTTGATAATTTCAAATTTACAGAAAATTTTGAAATTTTCAACCAATTTAGAATAATTGGTTAAGAAACTATGTAGGTGGGGGGGTATGGGCAGGATAGATGAACTCTAAATAGGGCAGAGGGGTGGGAGGGGAAGGGAGGGGGCAGGGGGTTAGCAAGGATGGTGGAATGTGATGGACATCATTATTCAAAGTACATGTATGAAGACACGAATTGGTGTGAATATACTTTGTATACAACCAGAGATATGAAAAATTGTGCTCTATATGTATAATATGAATTGTAATGCATTCGGTTGTCATATATAAATTAAAAATATAGAATAAAAAAGCAGACTTTCCACCACGGAATACTGTCTTTATGATGAACGTAAAGAGAGAAAAGGCTGAAATCCACCCCTACCCCCAGCCCCTCAGTGGACATTGCATGAACCCACAACATGATGGCCACAATGCTCCTCTGGTTTCCTTACAGGAGGACACGATGGTATCAGGAACCTGTGTGGTGTCTGAGGAGGGGAATTAAAAAAAAAAAAAAAAGAAACTCCTATGTACACTTTAGTCAGATTAATCTACTGCTTACATTTGGTGCTGGGGATCCAAGTAGGGCCTCACACGAGTCAGGCAAGTCTTCTGTTGCTGAGTTCCATTGCTTCAGACCCTAGTTTTTTTCTCTCTTATGATATTTAATCTGGAACATGTCATTGGCCTTTTTATTGTTTTTCTTGACATTTTAATTGTATAGGTCAGTTTTTGTTTTTTGTTAGTTTTTTTCTTTTTAATTCAGAAGAGTCCTCAACTTCGGTTTGTTTGGTTAGATAAATTCATTGCTTATTTTTGCTAGTAAAATGAAATACCACAGAAGTGATGGTATGTTCTCAGTGCATCATATCTGGAGTCACCTGATGTTGTTTACATTGATGGCTGAAAGGCTTCTCCACTCTAAATTTATTACTTCCTTCAGTAATTAGTAAGTATTTTGTTAGGATTTATTTTGAGATGGTGTTAATATCTGCTCATCATAAACTGTTCACCTTTGGGTTTATTATTCTTGTTTCTTGCTTGTCATGTTGAAAGCTTAGTTTGTTTACTTCAGCCTCATATTTTCTAAAGTACTTAAGATTATAAACTTGTTTTTTTTTTGGGGGGGGGATCCTGGGGATTGAACCCAGGGCCTTGTGTGTGTGAGGCAAGCACTCTACCAACTGAGCTATATCACCAGCCCTAAGATTATAAACTTAATACATAATTTGACTTATGGTCTGGGAATACTTATAGTAGGATTTGGAATGAAAGGAGACTAAATCATCTATTACCAGGAAGCTGGCAGTAAGAACCTGAACAGAGAATTTAAAAGTGCCCCAAATCAATCATTTTAAAAAATGTGTTCAGTCTTGCATTAAAGAACAAGTGATATGGTTTTTAATGGTTTAATGGTTGTAATTGGCACAACTATGAACAGTAATAAGTTGCTGAAAATAATGAATTTAAGAAGTTTATTTCTTTAGTGCATTGCGTACTTGGGGCTTATTTAATATACAACTATCTCAGACCATGTTTTGCCTTTACCATTTCAGGAGCAGTGGAAGGGGCATGGAAGAATCCTTTTTCAAGCTGGTTTTCTGCAATGCTCCACTGCTTTGGTGGAGGAATTTTATCATGTATACTTCTTGCAGAGCCTCCACTGAGGTTTTTTGCAAATCACACTAATGTTTTACTGGCATCTTCAATCTGGTAAGCTATCATTATGGTAAACTATGAGACATTCTAAAAATTGTTTTGTAAATTGCTAGTAAAATGAAATTTTTTTCTTTAAAAAGTATTTTATCTTCTTGGAAAGTTATGTACAAGGAAGAAACCCAAATAATTCCAAATGTTTAAGCACCTGCTGTCTCTTTCTTGCCTTTTTCTCCCCTTATTTTTTCTTTTCTTTTCTTTTTTTATATATTTTTTTTTTTAGTTTTCGATGGACACAGTACTTTTATTTATTTTTATGTGGTGCTGAGGATCGAACCCAGTGCCTCCCACATGCGAGTCAAGCGCTCTGTCACTGAGTCACAATCCCAGCCCCTCCCCTTATTTTTTCCTAGAGGCAATTATTACCACCATAGTCTTATGCATTTAGCTTTTCAGACATGAAAGAGGATTAAATATTTGGCCCCAAACAGTTTCATCTTATGAGCTCAACTTATACATCCAGAATTACCACACACAGAATTAGAATACAATAAAAGTCAATAAATGTCATGAATGTAACCAAACAAAAAAGATTCAAATGACTCAATATATAATTGTCCTTTGTCATACTTTTTGTTGGGTTATTTAGAACCTTATGAAATCTTTAACATTAATTTTTTAGTTGTGAAATGAAGTAAAATGTTGCTAGGAATTGCTTTGGCTTCTTGTAACTCCAAATTCAGGTATGCTTTAGAGAATTGATCCATTAAGTTAAAAAATAGGTATACTACAAATCAGTGAAGTTTGTTCTGTTGAAAGCCAAAACTGTGCTTCTATTAAAAACCACATCAGGTTAAATATATAAGATGTTAGGAACACTTAAGATTTCATTTTTATTATGATAATTTGTAAATGATTGTTTTACTAGTTCTGAAGGAGATATTATAAATAATAGTAGCAATAATAAAAAGTAAAATGAGGGAACTTGTGGCAGGAGAAACTTGAAAGGGTATAATAATACACTTGATAGTTTTGAATACTGACTTGTTACTATATGTCAACTAAATTCTTTATATTCATTTTCATATTATATTATAGGAGTCCCCTGAGTTAGTTTTTATTCTTATGCCCATTTGACAACTGAGAAGACTGACATAAAGAAATGTTGCTATAACTTTCATATCTAGTAAGTGACTGAGTTAGAATCAAATTAAAAAATTTGACTTCAGAACCTTCAAACTTGATAGACCCTCTCTCTCTCTCTCTCTCTCTCTTTCTCTCTCTCTTTCATGAAGCTGTGATGGAACCAAGACCTCACTCATGCTAGGCAGGCTCTCTGCTGCTGAACTACATCCCCAGTCCTCTCATAAATTTGTTAACAATCTCCTAAATATAGTCTTTTCCATTTGCTTTTTGTTTTAAAAAACTTTTCAAGGATTTTATTTCTACAATGATATTTTAAAATGATATTAGCATTTTAGAAAAATTCTTTTTATGTGTGTAGATGTTGAAATTATATAAAAAGTAAGATATCCAGAATCTGACACTCACCATCACTTATACTTCTATTTCTGTTGTACTAATCACCAATACTTCTTGCCTGGATAGTTGAAGTAGCTTCTTAAGGGGTCTTGCTGCTCTATTCATTATCTCTCTCTTTTTTTTTTAATTTATTTTTTAGTTTTCGGTGGACACAACGTCTTTATTTTTATTTTTATGTGGTGCTGAGGATCGAACCCAGTGCCTCGCGCATGCCAGGCAGTCATGTTACTGCTTGAGCCACATCCCCAGCCCTATTCATTATCTCTTGAGTCTGTTCTTCATGCAACAGATGAAATGAATTGTTTTAAAATAAATTGGAACATGTTACCCTTATGCTAGAGTTTCTTACCTTATGAAGAACAAAATTCTAAGCTCTTACCATAACCTATAAATCCCTACAAAACCTTTCTTCTACTCTTTAATGTAATGTCTTACCACTGTAACTCTTGTTCACTAATTCTTGAACATATAAGATATTTTTCTTCCTTAGTGCCTTTGAACTTGCTTTCTTCTCCCTGTAATGTTATTTTCCCAGAAGACTCATAGTTTATTAGAGAGGTCTTTCACCATCCTTCTCTATTTTTCTTCCTAGAGTTATTACTGCTTGACATATTAACCGTTGACTTTTTATGTTGCTGTAATTCCACTAGAATAACAAACAGCTTATTAGACCAAGAACTTTGTTTTGTTAACTGTGTACCAAGTAATATTCTGCTTTCAGTAAATACATTGCTAAAGGAGTAGATTGCTATGTACTGTCATGAGCAATTTCTGAAATTGAGTACCAAGGAATTACAGATCTTGAATTGATCTCTTAAATGAAGTGAAATTGCATGTCTATAAATGTATGATTTCTTGGCTTAAACTAAGACATATGTTAGAAATGGAAAATGAGAAATGCATTTTTATAATGAATTAATAACATATTCATTAACCTCAGATCTTTTATTATTCCCATTTTATGTAAGAGGAAGTTGAGGCTTAAAGAGTTGGTATAAAGTCTGAATTTCAACTCAGGCATTTAGATTATGGTCTTTATAGAGTTTTTTCTCTAAACAATCTTTATTAGTCTTTTCAGCTAATACAGAATAGGTAGAAAAATATTTCTAAAGTATATGTAAAATAGAAACAATTATGATGTAATAAATCTTGTGTATCCATTATTTAATTAAGAAAAAAATTGCCACTTAAATTTTTTTATATGAAGTGAACATTCAGAAAGCCACAAAGATGCATTGACATAGTAAATTATTATAGTGTATACCCTTGTAACCCCTACCCCAGTCAAGAGATTGTGCTTTGTCACTAATCATAGAAGTTCTTTCTGTGTGTTTTATTCCAATCACAACCTCTTTCCCACCTTAAATAACCATTATAATAACACATCCTTACTTCTATGGGAATCACGTTTCATATTTTTATAATTTTATCACCACTGTTCATTCCTTGATATATTATAGTTTAGTTATTTATAGGTTCAGATTGTCTGATTTGATCTCTTTTGTGATATTTACAGTGTTTTACACTTAATGCCTGTAACAGTAAATTGGGAATTGTAAAATGGCAATGATCTAATTTTATCTTTTCTTTTTATTTATTTATTTAAAATTTTTTTTTTTTGTAGTTGTACACAATACCTTTATTTTATTTTTTTATTTAAATGTTGTGCTGAGGATCGAACCCACACTGCACACATACTAGGCGAGTGCTCTACTGCTGAGCCAGAACCACAGCCCCCTTCTTTTTTTTTTTTGGTGGTGCTGGGGATTGAACCCAGGGCCTTGTGCATGCAAGGCAAGCACTCTACCAACTGAGCTATATCCCCAGCCCCTCACAGCCCCCTTCTTTTTATTTTTTAAAATATTTTTTAACTTGTAGATGAACACAATACCTTTGTTTTATTTTTTATGTGGTGCTGAAGATTGAACTCAGTGCTTTCCACATGTGAGGCGAGCACTCTGCCACTGAACTACATCCCCAGCCCTCTTTTCTTTTTATTCATCAGTTAGAATATTATTCTAAACAGATACTTCTGACTTACCATCTACTATTTGGTAAAGCAGTTGTATAGTTCATATAAGAAAGGCAGGATAAATACTTTTTTCTTTTCCTTTACTAGTTTTCAGTATAATTAACCTATCCTGTCATCCTCCAAAGATGACCAGTTTAAAAAAACAATAATTATGAACTCATGATTCAAGCATATTTCATGAGTTTTAATTTTAATTTTTGTTTTAATTCTTTGGCCAGTGGGAGCCTCTTTAAATTGGCTCCTGAGACTTCGGATTAGCTTCCTTGCCTTTTGGTGTTATAAAATTCATCTTGCACTTTTCTTCTGGAATTTCTTTAAGAACCTCCAGTATCTTTTTAATGAGAAATGGCATTTCAAAACCATAATCTGAGCATTAGCGATCATCATTGTTACTGAGTTCATCATTGGTTCTAGGCCACTACAGTGAACAGATAAGAAAAATAAAGACAAAATAACTTATGAGTTCATATTGATATTTCTGATCCAAATTCAAAACTATACAATTTTTATTTATCTTATCTCTATTACATACATATCTTCTTTCTTTGATATTAAGGATTTTGATTTTTAAAAGAATAGGACATGATAGAATTAAACTATTTTGACATTGCTTATTTATTCTGTTGTTTATTTGTTTTTGTGTGGTGCTGAGGATCGAATCCAGGGCCTCACCCATCCTAGGCAAACACTCTAACACTGAGCTAGAACCCCAGCCCTCATTTTATTCTGTATTATGCACATGATAGTTTTAGAGTATAGTAAGACTGTCACCAATTTGGTTACTGGAAACTTTTTTTTATTAGAGCTTTATATTTATATATAATATTTGGGTTCCTTTTGACATACAAAGAATTTGATTTCAATCCCCATTCCCCCCTCCTTAATTTCCTCCTCCTTTTTTTTTCTCTCTTCTCACTCTTTTATTTATTTATTTTTGACTGGTACTTTCTACATATACATAGAGGAGATATACCGTTTGGTACATTTATATATGTATATATTATGGTTTTGTTAGATTCATTCCATATTTCTTTCCCTTATGCTTCCTTTTCTCTCTCCCTCTCATTTTCCTACTTTTAATCCACTGATCATCCCTATATCTTTATGATATCCAATCCCCTCCCCCACTGCCTTTTCCCCCTTATTTTGCTTTAGCTTCCACATACAAGAGAAAACATTCAACCCTTGATTTTCTGAGTCTGACTTATTTCACTATGTATGATTTTCTCCATTTCTATCCATTTACTGGCAAATGTCACATTTCATTCTGATTTATGGCTGAGTAAAACTCCATTGTGTGTGTATACCACATTTTCTTGATCTATTTATATATTGACAGGTATCTGGGTTGATTCCATAATTTGGCTATCGTGAATTGTGCTGCTACTAACATTGTATTGGCTGTTTCATTATAGTATGTTGATTTTAATTCTTGGATAAATACCAAGGAGTGGGATAGCTGGGTTATATGGTGATTCCATTT